AGAGAGAGAGAGAGAGAGAGAGAGAGAGTATGGGAAGGGCAGTATCCGTCATCCTTTCCTCAGAGCGTCACATTGGTTTAGTTTACAGAAATGAGATGACCACTCCATATCACCGCTGAACACAATAGTGGGAGTTGATTCCTATTGACGAAGGGACTGTTTCGGGCATTGCGTTTACTGGATGGGACATTCTTCAAGCAGTATTCGAGGTCAATGAATCATGGGTCGGGAAACGTCATCAAATAAGGAGCCTATCAGGACGAGCGATACTGGCGCCAATTCTGAGTAAAAGTCGGACCTGATATTCGTGTGTGATAAAAAGTGAAGTTTCTTTCACTTTGACTGTGTAGAGTCGGTCAACAAGCCGATGACGGTTGACTTTAAGACTGAAAGAACCAGCATCTTCTGAGGTAGTGCGCACGCAACGTGTCTGCACGGGAAATTAAAGCTGAAAGCATCGCACGCACGATCAGTTGTGGCCGACTTCTCAGTGGGACTCTTTGATGTGATGAGGCGTGAACACCTGGTCACCCGCCAAACCTCAACGTGTCCCTTAATCCACGAGCGAACGACCACCTGTTGCTAGGTCATCGATGTTCTTAGCTTTGTGGTCACCTGCATCGTTATCGGTCGGTTCGAGCGTTTGGAAAATAAATCAGCGGGTCGGTCGTCAAAGCTGGTATGGCTGGTGTGTGCGTGTTTGTGTTTGTGGACACATGCAAGTCATTAAAAGTTGAATGTTTGACTAATTATCTGTTCAAGCCTACTGTGATCCGATGACCGAGGTCTTGGTAACAGCTCGGTCTGTCTGACATGAGCTGTCGTGATTCTTAAAGCTTGATGGCCATCCAAACGGTGACGGCAATAGTCGAACTACGAACGATTTTGGCACCTAGCCCAATGTCAAACTGCCCAACCATAAAAGGCAGTTCACTCAGAAAACGTCCAATAGTTTGATGAATGTGGAGCGAATTCCGAAGGATGTGTTGATTAACAAAACAATGAACTATCATCGACCTCAGCGGCAGTAACATCAGTGTCGACACTGATTCACAGTGGATTAACATACTAGGTAATCCCACTGCGGTGCCAGAATTCTCCACGGTTGTTGGCACTACTCTGTATTATTGCAGCATGATGCCAAAATCAAAATATCTTATTCAAAAGTGTATCCTACCAGTTTGTAGAACGGTTTACTGTATACACAGGGTGCAAGGTACAAGACATGGTCTCCTGTTGCATATGGATGGAGAAACATGCTGCAAAGGCCTCTCGTCAATGATGAATGCACCGCACTGAGCTCAGGGTGCGGGTAGTTTTGTGAACTCCACAGCAACTCGTGAGAATCAGTTCAGGGAGAACAAAGCAGTTGAAGACGTGTTGGCCAGAGTACATCATGCGAATGCACTTAGATTGAATCAGTTCTCATACAACTCATGCAGGATGACCAACTTAAAGTGTTGAGAAGAGTAGTGATAGAGTGCACCCCCTGGGTTAGCAAGCCAAGAAGTAGCACAAACCGGATTAGTGAACAGTGGTGATATGTGGGCCGATTTGATATGCATTTAGAAACTGAAGATTCTGTTTAAGTATAGGAACATAGTATAGGAACATCGATACTCACATTGTACGCTGTTTTCAGTTCACCGTTTTTGAAACGATCACCTGATGTGCCCTACCGGCGCACGGAAAAACGTGCACTGAATCTACACGGCCTATCCCTGCTTATGACCGAAAAAACAGGCCATAATGTGCTATGTCCGGTGGGAGCGATAGACAGGGTTGAGCATCATTCTTACGTGCCGTGTGCAAGCAGTGGATAAAAGGAACTCACCGGCTATGGTCGATCGTGTCCTAACAGTTCCAAGGAATACGCCTGACTCTAAGGAGTCCCAACAGGACAGCTAATATGGTCCATGGAAGTTGAGTGTTTTTGGCATTGTGAGAACTATCTAGCTGCATGCATTTTCAATAAAAGACTAGGGCCAACAGTAATAAAGAATGCCCCGACGCAAACAACTTGAATCATTCATGATACCACGATCGAAATTGTGTTGTTCATAATTTGAGGGATGAAATAACAGAAGGCGAACATATATAGAACGAAACCTCTCAGTTGTTGTCGGAAACCCATGAAGCTTTCCAGTTAGACTTTCGAAGTAGAACCGTGAGGACACTTTAATATTGTAAATAATAAACGAAGAATAAACTCTTGGTTAGGCTCCGAAGCAAGTAAGGTGTCATTGACGTTGCCAAGTTTGCTGAATTTTCTTTCTCCTATCACAGGAAATAGCAAACGACATTCCCGGTCAGTCATACTGTTTATAAACCTTGGGAAAAAATCAGTGGATATAGCATCATTTAGGAGGGTAATGAAAGCTCTGCCTGATCAAAACATCGGTTTCGATCTTTTTGGTACTGCTTAGGAAATCTGCTTCTTTGACTTTTACTACTTTAATTTTGTACTTGGACGCCCAAATGACCGCTCACATTTGTGCCTTAAGAAGGGGGTAACGAGAGGCCCACAGCGTTCTTCAAATGGATATGCTGCATGATGCTCCTGTCCGGGAGTTTTTACCAACCTTATGAGTAATGTTCCAACTGAAACCAGGGGCTGTCTTTATACAGTAACTTCATTTAAAGCGTATCGAAACCAGGAGACTCACTTGTGTTTCAAGTGAATTCCTCGTTTGCACAAACTTTAATTGCAAACTACATAGTTGTTTAAACGTTTCATGTTATAAGTGACAACTTGCTATCACCATGTTTCTCGACGAAGAAAACAGTTTGTTCATCGAATTTTCAGTGTACACTTGTCACACTGATAAATAACTGTGGTTGCGTTTTTCAGAAAGCCTCAAATTATATCTATCCAAAACAGATTGGTTTTAAGCGTATTTTGAATATTAGGCTTAAGCAAACTCTATAAATGGTAAAAACCGTGCACTCCCTTGATTATTGTAGCCAAGACAGCATCCTGCGAAGCGCGGATTCGGTCGCCCTGCTTTCGTTTGTTCTAACAGTTTTTTAACGTTAACTGGCCTTGCTGCTGTTTATCTTTCTCATTCATGAAGTTCGCAGTATGTCATATATGATGTATTTCCCTTGCGTGCTTTTGCTTCTACATCTAGGTGCTAGGTACCTTGCGGGAGTTCCACTCCCCTGGTTACGTAAACAGACCTGTTTCCTGACCAGTTGATCCTCAGCATCTTTCAAAAGAATATGCTCAACTCAGTGTCAGTCTGTCAGTTTGCAAGTGCCAAATGTTGACCTTTATTCGGTAAATCACATTGGGGACTGACTCTGAATACAAACAGCTGAATTTGGCAATTTTCATTTTTTACTTCTCAGCGAACGTCACCATATGTGTGAGGTGATTTATTTGGATTGTAGAGCATGAGAGGCGGGCTGAACAATGTAACATAGTTCATAGAGCCGATATTGCGTATCAGTGCTTCACCAGTTAAAACAAACTCTACTGAGAGATCAGACTCAGTAGGACTGGGGGAAATTATGCGTCTCTACATGCCAAGTTTTCGTCTGCGTATACGACAACAACCGGTTCTTCACTGGCGAGTTCGCTGGACACGACAAATTCACTTGGTACACACTGTGTAAGTGAGGGGCTTAAAATCTACTGTTGCTCTTAGTACATCCCATTATTCTACTCGACCGCAAGGGTTGTATGCTGATACCCACGTCCAAAACCACAAATAGGTAGGGAATGTGATCAAGTCATCCCTGATACATCTAAGCCAGAAAAAGCACTTTCGTAGACAAATGGATGGAATTTGGGTATTCGAGTCAACAGTAGCTTCTTGCAACCATGTGGGTTGTCCAATAGCAGGAAGGTCTCTGCGGATTTTCGCCGTCTAAAAAAGTTTACTCGGCTGAAGAAACCATTTCATGCCTTGAGGAGGCAGAAAACGAAAGAGAAGCCGCAAAATGAGTTAACTGTTTTTCTGTTGAATTTACATTCCTAGTTGACTCATTGCTCACAACTGGCCAAAACGTTTTTATCCTGAATGCCTGGTGAACTCTCCAGGTGGTCGGACATTGATATAGTAGTTTTGGCCCGGAAAGGATTTTTCGAGCAGCCAGCCTGGTAAGCTAAGCATATGCATTAGCAGAGAGCACGCGTTTGAAGACTCTCAAGGAAAACAAATACACCTCGATTAAACTCTTTAGGTGAGGGAATCAATGACTGTCAACATTTGAATACCCCACAAACTCTCAGTCAAAAGCGGACTGAATGGCTTGCCCGAATGCGAACAGGTGTTTTGAAATTACAAATAGCCGGTAAATTACTAATTGCACGTTGTTAAAAAGAACTCACAAAATCAGCACTGGTCCCCACTGTTATGCCAGAACCAACTCCACCGATTTCCTGCTTCCTTGTCAGGTCGGTCTGTTCGTGTTGCGATTTTCGGTCTTCACGTTGAACACTTGTATCACCATACGGCAGCCCCAGAGAGCTCTGTGCTTGATTCTTCATAGCCACCATGTCAGGGATTTTGTGCTCCACGTTATCTAGGCCCCACAGGAAAGACGCACTTGCCCGATTAATTTCGGAGATTTGTGCAGAGGAATAGCGCTGAAGCCCTTGAAGTTGAGCTTGGATGGCTTCAGGTAAACCAAGCTCAATATCGTCAGATAAATTCGTCGCGCCAAGAACACATCGAGAGATCCAGTTCGAGCAGGGTTGGGTCAGCATTATGTGAATAGTTTTCTAAAAGAAATAAGCATTGATTATTGTTCTGTCCTACAAAGATTCGTGTAATTAATTTAATGGAAATCGCGAAACGTCTGAAACCCTCCTGGAGGATAAAATAACTGCTATCGACATTACTCTGGTATGCTTGCTTCAATGAACCATATCTGAAGCATGGAACATCAACCAGTCCCAGTCAACTATGCACTCACAAAAGCGAAACCTTAGGCCAAATTATATCCTCGGACCAAGTAACTCGTTGTTGAGGTGCGGAAGAAAGAGGATTCAAGTAGAACCTGTGAGCGTGCCTAATCGGGTGAGCATGTGTCGCTCACCATGGTGTGGCGACTCTTCTCATCGTCAAAACGTGTCTCAACTCCTGCTCCACGAGTCTAGCGAGCCTGCCTGACTTGTCGAGAGGCTGATTAGACGAAGGGGCCAGTGTTCGTATTCAATGTAGATGGCCCTAAAAGAGTTATTGTTTCTTGTAAACCTTTAAACCAGTTTGACAGTTACAAGTGTATGTGTATGCTCACTATCTCCATAGTACAGTAGAACCGTATGAAAATCTGTAGACCAGCAACACATCGAGCCGTGAGATGCTCGGTAAGTGGAATTGAAAATATTCTATTGTTTTGTCTCACTGCATGACAATATAAGATAGCATTGCCGTGTGGTAATACACGAGCCACACAGTCACCTCATAAGACATCACAATACGACAGCAGCAAATTGACCTAGTTTGTCTTTGAAACACCAAACATTTTGATTGGTGCCTCAAAAATTTCTTCTATCAGCTCTTTTTACAAACCTTCTTAAGCCCCGATGAACCGAACGCTATGCCAACTTATGCTGCTGACGCTGGTACTTTGTACTTACGTTGTCACACAAAGGAAATCTCAATTTGTAGGCAATTGCAGCGGGTGGTATTTATCCGTTTTTTATATGTGCATGCTCATCCGGACGAACTTGTGACTCCACAATAGCCACGTTTGCGAATGACCTCGTAACCGATAAGTGGTCAGCTTTTGTTGTTGGTCAGTTATGTAATTCATGATCCGTTACACTTTTGCACGCGATCTCGCACATAGTTCCCTTCAAATCCAGCCCTGTGTCTTCTGAGTCTTCGGCCCAGTCAACTGCATGGCATAGAAAACAACAGTCGCAGCACTAGTAGTTGTAATGCTGTGTATAAACCACCGTACCATTCGCCAAACAAACACCCCGAATGTGAGTGCACCAATCCAGTCAACCTATGCATGGACACCAGGGAGTATTGCAAGTCCCTGTTGACAATGATCCTGAAAATTTCCGGACTTATGATCTAATTGCCATGGTATAGCAGTATGAATCGATGTCTACCTTGATAAAAATCTGCCTAAATCTACTCCAACACTTGCCCCCTGATGACTTTGCGACGAGTTGTATCCTAACAGGCATAATTCCACGCAGCACACAGGCTAGCTACTGGGACTTAATAAACTCTGATGTGGTCACCATGGATTTTGAAGGTGAATGCATCGAGTAAACAAAATAGAGCCGCAAATCACACTTGTTTGCCGGCCAATATGGTTTTAGCGGGTAAAACTCGGCTAAAACTCTCGTTTATGATATTATTCGACTGAATGTGCTGAACAAAGGCCGGCTCATGTTTCGGTTACGAGAAACCGCAATTTATTCTCATGAGGAAATACTTAAGAATGCTGAAGGGAATGTAGTTTACAAACTGAGTAAAATTTGGTGTCCAAGTGGAAGTCATGTCTGACGGAAACCTGATGACTACGCCAATAAGAGCGAAACCGGTCGTGGATTGTCGAAGAGGTTTCAGCAACCGTATGAGTAGTTTTCTTCAGGGGAAAACCAAGAATCTCTCCGCTAGCAATATTGTGATTTAGCAAATGATCTGGGATCCACAGTTTTGTGGTAAGAGATAAATTCTATAAACTTGAAAGTTGAGTAGCCATCACACTTCACCAAGCACAATCAGTGGCACAGGTGCATTGCTAATGGTGAGTATTCACTAGTATTCAACGGGTCTCCTTCCTGTTCATATGCTTACACTCTGTGGGGGTATTTTTCAGCTATATGTTAGATTGAGGTATCACAATGAAGTTTAACACTAGAATATCTTATTTTCACCATACATTTCTAGGTACACGATACTAAAGTTTGACAAACAAATCTCAGGTTGAGCGTTCAGTTACGTCTTAAATCAAGCAGGGTATTTTGTGCCACACTGTCCACCTGACTAGAGCAGTTTCAAAATCATCAGTTGGTATTTTTCGTACGATTTTTGGCAAACTCACGTGCGCTTTATTTGTCATTAGAGGTTTTGACATTTTTTGTATTACCCCTCTTCTTACCTACATATCAATTTATGATTGCACAAAAAATTTGATAAATATATAGCAGTTCATTTGCTTCTGTCAGGTTCTGGTGGCACGTCTACTGCCTCTTCAGTTGCCCTGTTAATACATGTACAATCTTTTCTACAGTCACCCACTGATGACTGCTTGTGGGGAAATCATTGTGATTGCCACCAATGGAAATTTCTACCAAAAATAGCTACACGAAAGTAGTCTGCTCCCTTAATTGCCTAAGTAAGAGGCTTCAAATGCATCCCCAGCGCGTGCAATTCCAAGCCTTCCATTCCTAAATGTATATTGTCCTACCATACACACAACTCAGCGTTTCCATCTCTTCTCAAGCTTCACAAATCCGGGTCACCTATTTCCTCTGAAAAGTTATCAGCAAGTACTATCGGTCTATCCCTTTTAAGCAGTACAGACGTCTGCCGCAACACTAGACCCGTTCACTGAATCACGTATGCCCGAAATCAAGCAGGGTCCGAGTGTGCTTGCTTCACCAAACGGTCCATCAGCCTACAGCGTATTAATAAGTGAGTTGGATGAAGTATAAGTAGGGTTTGTGGGTGAGCGATGCCATTAGTTATCACACACAGCCAGCTGACATTTGGGCTTTTATTCAGCCGGTTCATTTCATTTCAAATCGAAAATATGGCACGGAATGGCTACCAAGCGAACTCGACTATGTTTTCTCCAAACTCTTATCTTTAGTTAAATTTGAAGATCAAAATAATTGAAAAATCGATTCGATTATTCGTCACTGGACTGAAAAGCTTATGCTGACTTAATTTTATTAGTGCATATGAACTGCGGCCGATTCGCACTTCGTTTCCAACAGGTTTGTTGACATCCCATAAATGGTGCGCACTATTTACCCCATATATCTGGCTTATTAGTATTCATGTCCAAATGGCTGCTGGAACAGGAAACTAAGAGCCAAAGAACCTATGTCTTTTGAAAATGGTACGCTTTTTCCTGAATTGGTCGTTCATGATGGCGTTGACTGGGGGCACTATCTGATGTAGTTTACCGGAACAAGTATTACACTGTTGAGCGTCTATACATGAAGATGTCCAGATATCGCTTTCCTTAATGATAGCCAGTCTACTGAGTACTGAGTCACAAACACGGTAGTTCTTTGTTTAGTTTGACAAGAAGAACTTGTGATATCTGTCAGAATCGATAAATCGTGTCCGTTAAGAAAACAGAAACAGCGCCATCTATATGCTAGAAAAACTGTTCTATATCCTCAAGCATGCGAATCGAGTGACTGAAGCAATCCATCCATGGCCGCAAATTATCTGCCGTTTATGTTGGTCCCAAAGTCAGTCATCGTGGGTAGATATAATACTACCCCATTCTTTCTTAGAGCCATTCTAAGTCATTACCACCGGAGAAAGCCGCTTCTACTGAGAGAGGTCTGTCCGGGGAATACTATATATAAGTGGATCGTTGCTTGGGTTTATGCTGGGAAGTATAATGCTCTTATTCGTAATCCCATGCACTTTACATGGATGACCACCAGCGCTTCGAACTTAGGACTGATCCTTTGGTTTACTTTGTACACACGCGGTCGAAGTGGTCATAGCTAACAACTAGTGCGTCACAAGTTAAGCATCCGAGTTTTCACCGGTTGCATGATATCAATTCACCAAAACAACACAACGTCCACATCCCTCTTGGCGAAGAATGAAGAAATGAACGCAATGAAATCAGTCATCTGAATCCACAAATCTGTTCCACAATAACATCGACGATAGATTTAGTCGGAAAAAAAAACTTAAAATAGGGGAAGTGGACCGAAACATCAAGAACTGGGTTACATCGCATGCAAAGAGGCCGAATTCTAACCAATAACCCTTTGGGTTGATGGGATTGAATCAAAAGAATTGCCAGAATGTTCATGATTGCATCTGTACATGGGGAATCAGAGCCTTCTTGATCATTCTGTTTTAATGCATCAACTGAATTTCTAGGCACTTGTATGTTTACTCCTAAAGGGTTGTGCGAATAAACCGTATCACATAATCTGTCACGCCCTTGAGGGAATGATCCCAATGAACCTGAACTTTTTAATTATGGGATGGTCACAATAAGCAAACAGCCTCACAGCTCGCAACAAAAAGTATCTCGCAGGGATCACATATTCCTCTACGGTAGCCAACTCTATTCTATGTAGCTGAGAGACAATCGCACCTCGTCTACAATTCTCCAAGCAAGAACCTCGAAAAAGGGTAGAGCAAAATGACAACTTGCTACCGACGGGAAGGCAACTGAATCAGACAAGTGGATCTATGGTGTAGCAACAGCTGGACGGGTACAACATGCTTGTTTTTTCTGGCTTTGGATCCCATCACCACAAAATAGAAAACGAAGGGTTTAAGAGATTCAAATACAAAGTGAAGGGGAATAAACTACCTTTCGATATGCCGATGACTGTGTGGGATTTCCTAATGGCGAAAACATGCTTCCTTGCTTGACTTTTGCACCACGAGTTTTTTTTCATCAGAATACTGCTTAGCGAAATGTGCGTGCTGATTTCACGCATTGATCCGGTGGGTGGACATTGATTTCCTAACAATGCACCTACAGCATTGGCACTCAAAAACGTTTCACATACAGAGGAGTTGAGTTAGT